ATTCAAGCTGTAAATATCAATATTATCAAGTAATTACTTTGTAGTGGAGTAAACTAATTTATTAACATTAATGTTTATATGCCTTTTTCTTATTTTACAAGGGTTACCATTCACAAATCAAATGCTCTAGACATATCCCTGTAATGAACTCTCTATTTTGGTTTGCTGCAAGAACTTCTTACGCTTGCTCCATGTTTGGTCGCTGAACTTGAAATTAAGGAATTAATCTTCGAGTTGACATATTTGCTAGAAAGTGGATGGAAAGAGATCGCATGTCGTCAAAACCGCTAGCAGAAGACTGCATTGTCGTTTAGGGATTGTAAAAGTGTTTGAGGATTTTCCCTCTATCTGTCTGTCTGTCTCCTCTCTCTCTCTCTCTCTCTCTCTCTCTTTTTTTCTCTTTAAGCTGGGGGGGGGTGTGTGCAAAATCCCTGGTTGGCTTTTTGCTTAATGCTATAATTTTACTCGCATTTACTTTCTCCCCTAGCCTAGGTGGTGGTGGAAGCCCTCTTATCGTATCCTAGCACTGTTTATTTTTTCCCATGTTCCCCCCACCCTTCAACTTGTATATGAAAAATCAGTGCGCCTACCCCGCCCGCCCGCACACACACACACACACACACACACGCACGCACGCACACACCCCTCCCTTCAAACAAAAAGGAATGTATAAGGATTTCAGTGACTTTGAGATAACAAAGGCGCCACCATTGCAGAGACTCGCCCCGCCTCTGTGTGATGGCAAACAAATTCTTGCACTTGTATTAGGGCTTTTAAGGCTATAATTGAACACGGCGCGTCTAGGAGAACCGAAAACAGTTCTAGACTGACCTGCGGTTTTATAGCACTTTGGCAGTCAACTTCAGCTTGTGTCAGAGCAGACACGACAGAGCTGCCCGACGGTTAATCGCGGGACGCCACCTACTTGGACTCACTGCAGTTCCCCCTCTTGCATTAAATAAATTTCAAACCTTGGGGATAGAAATGGGGAGAAAGCTGGCAAAGGTTTGTATGTGGCTATTTCCTGCTCCTCTTTGCACTCGGGGGCTGTCGCGCCGTGCAAGGCTCTGCCTTGCCAGAGGTCGTGGCTTGCCTCTGGGAAACAAAGGGAAATTAAGGCAAGGAGGGTGAAAAGGCAGCCTAAGTCTGGAGACCCTTCTGCGAAAAGAGGCGCAGCTTGTGTGTGTGTGTGTGTGTGTGTGTGTGCGCGTGTGCGTGTGTGTGTGTGTGTGTGCGCGTATGGGCATATGTGCTTGCACAGCGTGCACACGTGCAGCCCCTCTGCCCAGTTTTGCATTGCTCATGCTGTGTGTGTGTGTGTGTGTGCGTGCGGGTGTATGTGTTCCCCCCCCAAAAAAAAAAACCAAGCAGCAGATTTGTTCAGTCCAGTTTTCCACGCGAAGGGACCCAAAAATGCCTCTCAGTGCGGTCTGCAGAGCAATTAGGGAGGGCGACGGGGAAGGCTGCGAGGGGCGCAGCTCGCCCGAGAGCGAGTAGACACCCGAGGCACAGACAGTTCTCCGCTTTATTTGCTGTTAAGTGAAACAGAGATAATGTACGCTTAAAGCCCCGGAATGTGTGGGTAATTGCAGGGAGCCTGCTGTTAAGTTGCTGTGTTCAGCACAATTATCAATGTTGATTATTTGGTCTAATGTTGAATTGCTCTTTTAATACAGTAATTGGGACTTCCGCGTTGAGGAAGGGGGAAAATCGAGCCTTCCCCTTGCTAACCTCAATGAAAACAACATAAACAAAGGGAGGCATTTCGTTTTGAGAAGCAAAATGCATTCGTTACGCCTCCCCAAGTATTTCGGCCGGATTAGAGAGGGTAACGCTGCTAAAAATGTTATGAATCCTGCAGCACTGCTGCAGAACATTTTGCAAAAGACAAACGTGGCCAAGAGGTGGAGAGAGTCTCCGAGCACATTTACCCATAGCTAAGCTAAACAAAGCGAGGTAAAAGATACATCTCTTCTTTGGAGGAATATAAACAAAGCTAGGATGCCTCGATAGCCCAGCTTTTATATATACAGATCGCGTGCAAAGGGAACTGTTTAACTTACTACCGCTGTTCTTTTAAAGGTCAAGTTCTATAGTATCTAAATTGTTGTCTTTTTGTATAGTGTTTTGTTTTAAAAATTTTAAGTCTACCTTGCCAAGAGGGTGGGTGTCTGTAATTAGCAGGAGAAGCGTGTGCTGAAAGGAATTTATCTCAAGAAGAGCTAATTAAAATATTACGTGATTGCTGTTTTTAATCTTTTGTGTTCCATACATATCAAAATGGTGAGAATTGTTAGGACTGGAACATGGGGAAGTAGCTCAAGAATTAGGACAGCGTTCTGTAAATCTACGATTTGATTACAATATACAAAGCGTTGTTAGAAAAACGCAATAGCAGGGTTTTTGCAAAGTTTTTGCCAACGAAAAGCGCATCAGCTCCCGCCTTTCCAGTGAAAATAACGCCATAAGGCTACTATTCTTTGCAAAATGTGCCAAGAATGAAGCTTCAGAAAAGCGTGATTACTGTTGGATTTTATTTTTTTCGGACTCAACAGTTCTTAACAGGCATATTCTCTGTTCTGTTTGCCTTTTTGTCCGTCATGGTAAGGAGCTATACAAATCCGCTTTTTTATTATTTTTTTATTATTATTTTTTACCTCTCTGTATTCCCTTAAGACTGTAATAGAAAGAACTTCTGCAATGTTTAGATAAATGTTTTCAAATATTAATCTACCTCATAATTCAAGTAATAGGTGATTTCTGTTAGCGGCAGGATGAAATCTAAAGTTTGTGGTATGGGTTAGAGTATTCATTATTGAAAACTTGAAGCAGCGTGGTTGTGATTTCGCTAGGAAACTGCTGAATACGTATAACGAGAAAGAGCAAATGTTATCATGATTCAAGTAAAGGTTATTCTGGCTTTTTGGTGTATTTAATAGCATTACATTATTTCAGAGACGTGAACTTATCAAAATGCTGTGCTCATCTGCTCTAGAATATTTGAGATCGATTTTTTGTTTCAATTATCGAAATCCTTCCCTTTCCTCTTCTCTGTCACCATCCCTTTCCTTTAAGTTGATAAGACAGAAGAGTTTGAGGGGGGTTGTTGTTTTTCTCCTCCCCCCCGGTTTAGTTTGAACATTACGATTAAATGCTTACAGACCTAAGGAGATCTACCCGTCTTTGACGGTCAACCATGTTATTTTACATCCCGTTGAGATGAAGGACATTAGAGCACTATATTTGAAATTAGACCCTGCTTCTGATAATTGCAACAAACAGAAATATCGAAGGCATTTTTTAAACCAGAAGGCTGATTCCAGAAAGATAACTTCTCTTTCTCAAGAATTATTTTCTTGCCCTTTTGTGGCCAAAGGATTTGTTGTTGTAACACACTCCCACCATCTTTACAAGCGCGGAGAGTTTCTCATAACGGTGTGTGTGTTCAAAAACCCTGGTTCTCTAAGCACTTTGCGCCCTAGGCTGTGTTTCTCTGAAGTTCCTCTAAATTTTGACTGTATTTAGTGTTATTAGCTTGCCTCCTGAAGGAGAATCGAGGCAGACTCGGGAACAAGGTGGGCATAAGGAAGTATTATCTTAGACGGTCAAGTATTTCAGAATTGATTGACTGACTATGCTACCATAAATGTCTCATTTTCTCCCCTTGAACGCTCTTCGCGACTTCTCCCGACACATCAAAACGTGCATTCTTTCATTCATTTCTTCCCATGTGCCCACATACAGGTGCAAGAGACTCCCAGCAAAAACAGGGTGCCGAGAGGGGGGGTCTAGACTAAACGGCGGGCTCTAAAATGCCTGCGAGAGGGAATTTCCCTGGTTATAATCCCTCAATACAAAAAAACAGCCACTTTCCACCGACTTTCACCCAGACCCGGACCCACAAAGATCAGGGGTCATTAACATCGGTTGTAGTAAGTAGGTTCCAGTCACCTTTCACGCTGAAGTATTTTATGTGGAATTAAGCAGCGCTGTTTAGGGAATGTCCGCAGCACTTCTTTGCGAGAGCCGAGATATTAAACAATGTGGTTATCCTACAGAAGGCAACATCTCAGGCAATGTACCCACGCAAAGTCCACACACAGGACAGAGGCTGCAATGCTGTTTTCCTACACATTAAAAAACCAAGTCCACCAAACCATTCCCTTGCCGACTTACATTTAAAAGTATTGCTGCAACTGATGCCTTGAACTTGACCTTAGATTTGTTAATCCAGGAAATATAGGCAGTGAGAGAAAAAAAAAAAAAAAAAAGCCCTATCACGTTGCGTCTAGCGAACGAGTATTCTTCCACCTACAAAATCAGTATGCAAACAACAAGACGTATAAAATATATAATTTGCTCTCCACGTTAAGAGCAGAAAGACACATAAAGTGAAACGCCTCAACGCCGAGACAAACTCATGGTATTTCGACTGTTCCTGTGATGCCAAAACCTAGTTTGCTGCACTCATTACAAAAATTCAAGTCAAGGTAATGGACTGGGATTCCCAGTTAAACTGAATTTTGTAGGATATAAGGTTCTTTCTAATGCACGTTGATTTTTAACGGTCATTTATAAAAGCATTTTGTTTTTTTATTTTGCCCGACTCGCCAAGAAACACATCGGGTTTTACTGTACCACACTGCTAACTTTATAGGAGAGTCTTATTCACATATTGTGAAACCCACCAAAGTAGAGACATTTCTTCATCAAGGATTGTTTTAGGGGGCGGATACAGGAAGTATCACTATACTGGGGCTGTCAAATCAACGACTTTAAATCCCGAACTTCACATTTTTGATGGACTCTGAGAACTGCATTATAATAAATGTACCTGCACTTGTGTAACCTTTACAATAATCTATTTGTCTGAGATGAGTTTAAAATACGCGCTGGAATTCAAAACGCAGTTGTATTCCCATGCACATATCAGCCTGCTCTATAAGGACTGCTTGTTGTCTACTCTCTCACATGTCATGCAAAGATACCCATAAAAATAGCTCTCCTACTAATCCTAATATGGCTGCTTTGACTATGCTGGGGTCAAAACATGCCCAGTGTAACGTTTATTTCTCTTTCCCAGGCCTTTTAAAAACACGGACTTGAATATCACTTTCGATAGAAATTGAGGTGCATCAACACAACGAGTCCATGATGCAGAGGTCAGGGAAATTTGAACAAAATCTATCGAATCAAATAAGGCGGGGTGTGAGGATTAAAGGTCCTTTCTCTGTTGTTTTTATTTTCCCTTCAAGTATCCAGGTAGCACGTTTATGTTTATTATTATTATTATTATTATTATTATTGTTATTATTACTATCACTATCACTATTACTACTACTACTACTACTACTACTACTACTACTACTACTACTACTACTATTACTATTATTTTGTTAAAACTGACATATCTAGATGTACACCAACCATTGAAGAGCCAAGCTAGAGAAAAAGCCCATCCAATATCGTATTATATTAAAAATTCTCTATTTGTATGCCTACCCGAAGCATCCCGAAGTCTAAAACCGGAGTGACTTAAAATACCTTGCCTTTCGATTACTCCTAACCAAAGCCGACTAGAGAGGCCGATTTATACGATCTGAAATAAGTAAGAGCACTTTGCTCGATGCATTCCAATCAAAGCGGTTACGACGAAGTTCAGATTAATTCAAACTGGCAGGTTACAATGCTCGGCTGGCATTTTTCTCTCTAGATACATACAGGCAATGGAGAAAAGCAGACAGGTTAAATATATACTCCGAGGGAATTCCTTCTTCCCTTGCTTTACTCCACACAGAGCAGTCGATCCTGCTCCCCATCTCATGAAAAATTAAAATTAATACACAGGCAAACACGTATAGACAACCGGGAGTAAAATCCAGGAGCCACTTTCCAAAGCAGCCTGACCCAACGCTGCAGCCAAACCAGAGCAAATACGAAGCCAAGCACCCAGCAGCTCTACCGACCAGCTTGCCCGCACCTTGGGCTCTTCCCCCAGCCTCTTCTGGCCCACTTTCCTCCCAAGAGCCCTCCTTGCTGTTCACCTAGGCGAGGCTGGGAGCAGCATCTCTGCGAAAGGTGGAGCTAGGATCCAAGCTAGCACAAGGAATCTTACTTTTCTAAAAGGGCTCTTCGTGCCCTTTTAGCATCCTCCCAGCCTGCCTTCTTCACCCAGGTCCCCGCAGCAGCAGCTTGTCTCACACGGGAGAGAAGGAGCGGGGGGTGGGCCGGGGGGAGAGGAAGGGCCTGGGAAACCCTCCACAAAGGCTTCCCAAATGACTCTGCTCCAGTCATGCACGGGGCTTTGCCGGGGGGAGCGGACGGTTGTTTGTTGTTTTCTTGTTTGCTTAATTCACCACCAAGCACGGGGAGAGCAGAAACAATCAGCCACTTCCAGGAAGAGCATAAAAATCTTACCCCAGCATCCAGAAGTCTCTCGCCTGCGCAAAAATATATCCCCACGGAGACTGACAGCTAGGATCCCGCGCTGGGCTGGAGACCTCCAAATCAATAAGGATGGATTGCACATTTTTTGATTTCCTCCCCTACAGATTGAATATACCCGGTCCACAAAATATTCCTTCTCGAGCTCTCAATGACTTGGATTGTTGTTGATTTTTTTTTTTTATTTTTGTTGTTCTAGTTGTTGTTTGTCTGCCTTTAATTGAACGGAGAAAAATCTAGCCACTAGGGCACATCGTCCTTCCTACAAGCTTCAGAATCTCTGCAAAATGCACCAATATCACAGGCTAATTATTATAATGGCTGTTACTATTACTGTTATTACTGCTATTTATTTTTTCCTCTCTCGCTCTCTCTATCCTGATCCCCTAGGATTTCCGATGGCGATTTGCACACAAACAAGGTGATTGCAGGAGGCTAAAATGCTGTCTAATTCCATGGATTCCCATCGCAGTAGAAGAAAAAAAAAAAAGTCCAAGTGTTTTTAATCACGGGACACCCGGCCGTTCCTCCCCAGTACACCCCGGGTCACAGTACAGTAATGACCGTGGGTTGTGCGTTGTAGGACTTGACCTTTCCTACGTAGAAGAGGGCGCTTTCTTTCACGCTACGGGGAGGGAAGGGAGGGGGAGAGCGGCGGGAGGAAGGGAGATGCTCTCTTTGGGGATGTTTAATCACAATTCAGATCTAAGAACGGGCAAATCTCCTGCCTTTCAGCACGCCATGTTGAAGCCATTCACTGGAGCAAATTTTTTTTTTTTTTTTTTTTTTT